CGTTGATCACGATTGGCCATCAGACATTATTGTCATATCTGCCTACGCATAAATTTTTAATTTAATTTAATTTAATTTAATTTAGTTTAGTTTATTGCTAAGGTCTATGAAGAAAAACTACATGTTAACAGAGTAATAGACATAAACGTAAAATATGAATCATTGTATATTTAGAACAAATAATTTGCGGTATATTATTATTAGATTAGTGGTCAAGAGAGGAAGAAATGATCCTTCTTTTTTTCTCCTCTCATTCAATGAAATTCACGAAAAACAATAACAAATATATTTTATACACATCAAAATAACAATACGTTTTTATATACTTGTAAGATTTATCTAAAAACATTTTATCTCGATATTAAAACAATATACTTTTTATATTAGGTGTTGGAATTAATTCGTAGCGTTTTACAAGTGATGGGAAGTACTTTCATTAATGTATTTTTTAATGCTCATGTGAAATAAATAACATTCTTTCATTAAAAACGCTACGAATTAATTCCAACACCTAATACTTGTATATAATTTATAATAAATTTTAAGTAATTAATAAGATATATTTTGTTTATTTGATTAACTATAAATTTTCACTTTTGTATACGTAATTTTTATACGTGCCAGACATTATAATTATGTCTTTTTTAACAAATAGTTTCGATTTATTTACATTGTGATGAATTTTTCACATATATTTTTATATTCCTAATTAGAAATCCGTGTAATATTTGTAATATTATTATCATATTGCTAAAACATGAATATTGCTAATAACACATAAATTATTATAAACATTTTTCATTATTACAAATAACATTTCGTTCTCGTAGGAATTCTCTTTCCTTCCAATTTTTAGTCTCTAGATTTCGAAATTTTCCTGAAAGTCCGCAAACTGACTGACTATAGACTATACATAGTCAATTTATCTACCGTACGAATCATTGCATATTTAAAGTAGACAATTCGCAGTTATATTATCGACTGTGAGGGAAAAATAACTCTTTATTTTTTTTCATCTTGCAACAAATTTGAGAAAAAAAATACGACAAATATATTTGCGATCTGTGCTGACAGTAAAATAAAAATATTTAATGAATACAATTTGTTGATCAGTTGCGTTGAGGGATATAGCTGTTTAATGATGTTTTAGATTTTTTTCTACTTCTTAGTCTTGTGCAGATAT